CTCTGAACAGTTTGCTTCGCTCTAGAACTTACCTTCTCCAGCTGCAGGATGAGAATACTGACCAAGTTCTTTCCAAAACTGGCATTCCCAGGATTAACTCAGCGCATTTTATCACCCCTCATTTCTCCTCCCACAATCACTGACAGCTAATGTCGCTTCATCTCCACAGAAGGGCAGTTTTCTAAAATGTGAGGACATGGTTATTTTCAATAAGCTCTAGATCATTCTGATGGATGGCAAAATTCCAGGCCTATTGGTCTCATCAATACACAAACAACTTTTTAAGTATGGCTTTACAGTATTATAGGCTAAATACTAGTATCAATCAGTTTCTTCTCTACCATGTTATTGATAGACATCATGCTTCCCCGTAAAGGGAAATTTTAACAGATGGTCATTAGTGATAAAAAAGAATATTACTTTTTTTCTTCCACAGACTGTTCTTAGTTGAAATAATCTTATTTCAGAACATAGTTTATAGATAATGCCAAAGTGTAGGTTTTGCGACAGAGAAATGGTTTGCCTGCTGTTACTTTTGTTTTCATATGTAGGAACCTAAGAATGATTTCCAATGCCAACCGGCCCTCCAGTGCAAAGTAAACTCAAGAAGTCTGTTAAGCCCATCTCAGCGTCCTGATGATAAAAGTAAATGCACTATAGCCTCATCTTCTCCATTCACCCACAGTCATCATTACTTTCTCCCATTATTACAATAAGGAGTAGATTGTTGGGCTAATAGTGGGTCAAACATCTTGCTTATATGAAAAATATCAGCTCTGCTGGAAGAAAGTGTCCCAGTGATGACCTGGTGGCTTTAAAAGTTATTATTTGGCAGGGGTGGGGGGGGGCACCTGTGTGGCTTAGTTAGTTAAACGTCCAGCTCTTGATTTCAGCTCAGGCATGATCAGAGTCATGAGATGGAGCCTGGAGTCCAGCTCCCCCGTGGGCCTGGAGCCTGCTTGAGATTCTCTCCATCTCCCTCTGCCCCCCTCCTCACACGCTTGTGCACTCTCTCAAATAAATAAATGAATCTTAGAAAAAAGAAAAAATATTATTTTTTATTGAAGGTGATGTAATAAAGATTTTATACTAATATTTATTAAGCTCCTACTGCATGCTGGTCCATACTCTAGACAATGCATTTATAACCAGGATAGAGGGAGGTAGAGAGGAAGGAAGGAAGGAAGGAAGGAAGGAAGGAGACGGAAGGAGGGAGGAAGGAAGGAAGGAAGGAAGGAGAGAGGGAAGGAGGGAGGGAGAAAAGAGAGGGGAAGGGAGGATGAGGGTAGAGAAGGGAAGGGAAAGTAAGGAAAGGGAAGGGAAGGGAGGAAGGAAGGACGAAACCAAAGATCTATTTTTGGCTTTTCTGCCACTGACTCAATATTAACTCGAACCAGTGACCAACTTTGGTCTGCTAACTAAGCCTATCCACAGAACAGTGAGAAAATGCTTCAGCTTCCTTCCTTATTTGAATGCTGGACAACTGCTGAGATCACTTACATAAATATTTTTCTTTGAGCTCCCTAGAAGACAGGAACTTTATAAATATTTAGTATTATTGTTGCACCTTAGGTACAAGTAGACAGGAAAATTATGATAGTCCTCTATTTATCTAAGAAACAACCTAGTTCAGACAATTCCAGTTCATGCCAAGCAACTTTGCATTGGTTTGTTAGGGTCCCTTGGGCCTTCCTTTTTCCTTTCTCCTCCCCCCATTGCAGCTGATGAATGTGGAAATATAAATAAACCCTCAGAGCAGAGGGTAGGAAGGTGAGGAAGCTCAGCGTGGGGGTAGTCACACTGGCCAGCTCCAGCGGTGTGTCGGAATGGGTGAGGATTCAAAATAAACATTACATTTAAAATTCCTGATTGAAAAGTGTGAGAAAATGATTCATTTTAAGAATGAGTAATTTGGTTGAATGTTCTGTCCTTGAGTAAGACCTTGATGAATCTTCAGTTTTGTCTGTTCTGTTTCTTTTTTGGATACATGTGGTTAGAAGAACCCAAAAAACTGGGATTGTAACTGGCATGTTTAGAGTCTGTTTGTTTCAAGTGGAGTCTTCCAAAATTAATTCACCTGTTTCTTTGCAAATTCTTGTCCCACAGGCTGTTCCTCCAAGATTTTAATGGGACTCAGTTCTGGAATGATGTTCTCAGAATGCATACAAGGGTTATTTTTGGATGGTGGAATTTCAGGTGATCTTTTTAGTTTACTTTCTTAGTACTTCCCTGCACTTCCTGACTTTTTTTTTTCTTTGAATAGGAAGCAAGTATCATTTTTACAAAAACAGTAGTTTGAAAAATAATAAAATTGAAACCCCGTGCCACTGATTTCATTCTCCTCTCTGCCATATAGCCCGAGTTTCTAATGGACCTACGCTTTCTTCTTGCATTCCTTATAAATTTAAGACAAGCAGTTATACAGTAATTAATTTCCATATTGGGAAAGTGAGCCCTCTGTGCAAATGAGTAGGCAGTTGGTGTTGGTCTAGGGAACTCAGGCAGCTTATGAACCACACAGATAAAATTTTCTCTTTTGTCTTTATTGATGGGAATAATTCAAACCAAAGCAGAGTGGGTCTCTTGCCAATGAATTATGCTGAAAATGTTCTGTTTGTTGACCTGATGTCAAGATGATTTTATTAGTTTTACTATTTCTTGAGCACTCAGGGTGTTTTAGATACAATGTCACTTACAGACAAACAAAAGACATTAACTTCACATTCAATGATTTTACTTAATGAAATAATAAAAACCATTTAAGACTTTCTCTTTTGTGTATACATGTGTGGTCTCCTTTTCTATTTTTACTCCAATACTAATGCAGGGCAGAACCTTCAACATATCTAGGGGCCAAGCTTTCTCCCCACTGTCCAACTTTGTAAAGAAGATGCTTCCAGGAGGATCTGCAAATGCACCTATACACTTTTTCTATAAATATTTATTAAGCACTTATAGCATGCTGGTCCATACTTTAGGCAATGCATTTACAACTGGGAACCAGAAGTGGTCCCTGATCTAGAGAGGCTAATGGAGGAAAACAAGCATATCAACAGACACTGAAGTGTTAGCACTGCAATCATGAGGTCTGGATAGAACATTTAATGAACACCACTATGGAGGGGCCAATGTCATCTTGGCAGAAGTATAGAAGGAAGGATCAGAAAATACTTCAGCAGGGAGAAAAGGCAAATGTGGCAGAATCAACAGTCTGAAAAGGCAGTGATGTGAAACAGCAGGGCTCTCTTTTGAAAATTCTAGAGGTAGTTTTCATGTGTCTAGAGGACATGGAGTGAGTGAGGTGAGAGTGATGGAAGGTGATGCTAGAACATTAAATGGGGGGAAGTTTCTAGATATGAATTTAGGACTCATAGAACCAATCTCAGGAAGCAGATAGAGCTATGTGGTCCAGGCTCTTCCATGCTGGGAATAAAGTAGGTTCACAAAGCAGGAACTTGATCTTTGATTGCTCTGGAATAACCAAGCAGGATTTTAATCCTGACCAATGTGGTGAGTGTGCCTCATATGGTTCCCAGACCCAGTCCTCTTGGCCTCCATGTCCACCATTTTGTTCCTCTCTTTCCACATTCCTCTTCTCTTCACGGCTGGAGCAAGAGGCAATAGCCACAGCCATGGGGCTTGTAGAAACTCAGCTTTTTCTTACCTTGTCCCACAGTTTCAACAGCCCTCTTCTCTGATGCCAGCCTCTTGTCATTGGCTAAACCTATAGACTTCTATCCCTTCTCTCCTTGGAATGGGTCCCTTCTCAGGCCACTCCTGGAACTCCCTGGCCAGCGGATCCACTTGCAGTTCACTTTCCAGACATGGTGACATATGCCTGAATCTTTGGGAGAAAAAAGTTTTGATGCAGGCTGGTAAGTTTGGGAAAGTTCTGGGAAAAGAAATGGAAAGAGAAAATAGGAGAAAGAAAAAGCAGGCTGAACTAAGACTTAGAACAGGGTGTATAAGTGGCTTGTACGGAGCTTCCAAATCTAGAGTAAGTGGTACATATTTGTAGTATTATTCCTAACCTCTTATCTTTGAAACTGATATCCTCTATTATTTTTCTATTTTGCATTGTTTGTATGTTTGTAAGCCGCTCTAGAACTTTTTAGAAACATGGCAGAATACAAATACATGAGTACATAGAGAAGGTATTTACAGTCGCCACATTGAATAATGAGCGTTCTGAAGACAGGAGTGATGTGGTAAAATACACTTCTTGCTAAAACACTTTTTGCTAAACGTGACTGTGGTCAGAACTTGACATAGCGGGAAAAGAGGATTTCAAATTATAATCTAACTTCCAAAGCATGCTTTAATCCTGACCTACAATGGTGAAGGAGTTTGGCAGTATTTGTTCCCTCAAAACCAAACTAAACCAAACCCAGGAGGAAGGCAAGCACCAGGGCGCTGACTTTCTGCCATCACGAGCGAGGCTTTGCCAGCCTCGGGACTCCCACAAAGTGAAAGGGTGGGAGAAATGACCCAGAGGAGATGATGGTGTCCCTCCGTGGGCTAGGGAGCCCTGACCGGGACTTTTCTCTCACTGTCCTCCTCCCAAACCCAGGATTTATCCCTTTTGATCACTCAACTCCTCCCCTTCTCAGCTAGGCTAAACTTGTCTTCTCTCCTCAATGTCTCCTTCCCCCAGGGATTCACTCCCGGGCCAGCGCCCCCTCCCGCGCCCCAACAAGCGCCCACGTTCTCCCAGGACTAGCGTGCTCACTCCTTTCCCCTCGGCCCCAGCCCCTTTTCTCGGCTTCTGCCTCTTCTACCGGGGACGCCCATCTCTTGCCTCCCCACGGAGCCCAGACCTCGGGGACCGAGACCGGGACGCCGGGCCGCAGGTGGCGGGGCGGGAAGCCCGACGGGCCGAGGGTCGCCCGCGGCTAGCAGGGGAGCGGGAGCGGGTGGGGCCCCTCCCCGCAGGCGGGCGCGCGGCGGGCCGAGGGGGCGGGCCCAGGCCTCCCGCGCGCCGCCGCCGCCCCTCCAGCCGCCTCTTCGCTCCGCCAGTCGGCGCGACCCAGGTGCCAGCGGGCAGGAGGCGCCTGAGGATGTGCGGCTGGCCGCTGCTCCTGCTTTGGGGGCTGCTCCCCGGCGCAGCGGCGGCGGGGGGCTTGGGCCGGGCCCTCCCGCACCGCACCCTCCTCGACTCCGAGGGCAAGTACTGGCTGAGCTGGGGCCCCCGGGGCGGCCGGCTCGCTTTCCGCCTCGAGGTGCGCACCGCCGGCTACGTGGGCTTCGGCTTCTCGCCCACCGGGGCCATGGCCGGGGCGGACATCGTCGTGGGCGGCGTGGCCCACGGGCGGCCCTACCTGCAGGTAAGCGCGTCCCCTCCGGGAGCCCGCCCCACCGAGCCGCGTCCCGTCTCCTCCCGCCCTCGGGGCAGGCGCGAGTGCAGGCGCCCCCGGGGCCGTCCGGTGCCCTCCGCGGCCGAGGCTGGAAGCCTCCCGCAGCCCTGCAGCCCGAACCCCGCACGCGCTCCTCTTGGAGGTCTGTTCCCGCGCCCCCGGAGCCAAAGGCGCCCGCGGCTGGGCTCCCCGCCTCCACCGCCCGGCCCCGAGTTTGCCCCCGGGGAGGCTGAGCACGGGTGACCCCGGGCAGCTTTCCGTCTCGGAACACTCATTTCCCCAGCGACGCACTGACTAGATCCCCCACATACACACCTGCCACGCATCCCGGTCCGTCTGTCCTGGGAAAGGAGAACGACCCTTTGGGGACCTAAGGAGAGGGCTATTAGGGTTGGAGGGAACTGGGAGCTTTAGCACTTTGCTATCTTGCTGTCTAGAACCAGGATCCCAGGACTTACCAAAACCTAGCCATTCTGGAGTCCCCAGGCATGGAGCTGACGTCCCCTGCCTCATCTGAGAGATGAACGAAAGGTCCCCAAGAATCGTTTAGGAAGTTTGCTATCCTGGGAGCCCGTTAGGATGCCCATTCAGAGACCTGCAAAACTTACAGTTCCCCAGGCAAAATCCTCTATGAAGTGGGGAAACTTTTCACTTCTTTTAATGGCCAACCAAGTTAATTTGACAGCTGCCGATTTGCTTTGAAAGAGTCGGAGTAGGCACGTTGCCTGTTCATAGATATCTTTATGAATGGGAGAGTGGGGGAGGATGGTGAGGAAACCAGAATGATTAGGTGGTTAGGTTTTCTGGACATCTTTGTTAATTTGATCTTGACAACTTTTGGGCGCTTTTCCATGGTTACATAATATCGTGGTGAATATACTCTGTTACTTTTAAATGTTCATCCCGAAATACTGCCCTTTGCTAAAAAGTCTTTTCTTCAAAATGAAAACTCCTTACCGTCAATACCGTCCTGGTATTGGGTTAAGGTTTTGATGATATTAAAATCAGTTCACTGGTTGGATACCAAAGTGCCTTTCTCAGTAATTTTATTTCCGACTTCTAAGTTTGATTTCCACAACTTTCTGACTGAGATGCCATCAAATTTTAACCCTAATTCTGGCACTGAGCTAGTAACTCTGGCTAGAAATAAAGAAAATGACTGTAATAAAAACTTCAAAACCATCCTGTTGTCTGTTTTTTTTTTTTTAATAAATTAATCCTTTTCTCCCAAAATAAGTTTACTACACCCCCAATAAATGAACTTTTAGGAGGACTATGCTTTGTTGAAGTCATTGATGTATAAATTTCCTCCAGCAACATTTCAGACATCAAATTTGTAAACCAAGAATTTGATCGCAGGACAACAGGCCTCACTAGCTGAATAACTAACTCTCTTCTGATAATGAAGAAGAAAATATCTTCTTTAAATACCTAATTGAGCCAAGTCCTTTTGTTTGTTTGTTCAGGGTGTGAAAAGTAATATGTCCCTTAACTATCTTTGCACGTTTTGTTGAGAAGGACTTGGGAAATCTTTCTATAGTAATATCATAAAACAGGGTATACTTTAAAAGATAACTTGATTTTGCCCGCCCCCCCCCCCCACAAAAAGAGTAGCATTTCTAGAAAATCCATCCAATTTGATATCTAATGAAAGACCAAAAGTAGAGTCATGTTTCAACATGCCGTAATTGGCCCACCACAAAAACAGACTTTGTTAACCCCAGAGTGTTTTCACACTGCTGGTGGTTCTTCATAAAGACTGCATAAAAATTAACTAAATGCTCTTTGAATTAACTTTGAGCCATATGAATTTTCTCAAAATAATCAGTGAATACCTATCACTATGAGATAAACCTTAGAAATGGTCACTTTCCCAATATATTTCATGAGCATGAAATAAAAATTTTCCCTCCATTTTTATTCCTAAGGAAATAAAATCCTTATTTTCATCTATGTATGATAATTGTTTTTTTAGTGGACTAACAAGCTTACTGTTCCCTTTCCTTCAGCCTACTCATTCTTGGTTGTATAAAATACACTAAAAATTATGCTCATCAGTTATATGGAAAGAAAACTGATCAAAAACCTCTTTAATAAAATGAAAGACACCAAACACTAAAAATAAAAAATATATCAGTTCCTTCTGGGTCATCCAGGCTAGGTGATTTTCTAAAACTTGAAATTGGATCTTTTTTCTAGAAACTATTAATTTGAGAGTCTTCATAGAGTGGTATGTTAAGGAGCAACTATACCAAAAAGGTAAACAGGGTCCTTAAACAGTATATGTAATTCAATTAGTGAACTTCAGATTTCATGTAATTTTACTCCCAGTGAGAACAAACTTTGCAAGACAAAGCATTAGCTTCTGGGGCATCCAAGCATGTGCAGCAGCTGCTAATGGTTGGAGATGGCATCAGGCCACTGATAATACCCTACATTGACATCTGGGTCGCAGCTTTCTTTTTTTCTATATATTTTATATCCTCCTTTCTTATTTAATTTTTTAAAAACTTGACCTTCAGATATTTTTTTCTGTCATGATTCTGACTTCTATTTTTCTAGTTATCTTAAATTTTCTTTTCAATAGGATATGAACTCCTAGATAACTGTGTAAGAATGAATTCCAGCCAACTGGTAAAGAATTGTGGGTTAAAATAGATGCCAGAAACCCAAATGCTTATAGAAGTTAGACAGCAAGTATAAAAGAGTGATGGGCTTGATGCAATGCAACAGACAGTAGAGAGGATTGAGGGGAAAAGAGTTTTTGTGACTGAGTTACTGTTTTGTGGGAATGCAAATCAGGTATTGGCAGATCTTTTGTTTTTGCTTTTGGATTTTTTGAGAGAAGATGGAAATTTAGATGTGTGTAAATAAAATCCGATTACGAAATACTGGCCACAATCCAAGTTTGGAGATAAGAGCCCATGGATAACTTAGTCTGGGGCCAAGAGGGAAAAAGCCAGGTTAGTAACGAATCGACCCAAATTATGAAAAGCCATGAAAGGCAGAGGGCAGATCCCATTTCTCTTCAGGCGTGGCTTATTCTGTGGCAAGAAATGTCCAGTGCCAGAGGGGGCCTTGTCCATTTTTTTTGGTAATCTGTTGTATAACACAACACCCCAAAACACGTGTGCTTAATACAGTGACACTTAGTTTGCTCTCAGCTCTGCAATTCAAGGAGGGGCTACTTGATGTCAACCCTAGGTGAGCGATTGGAATCATCGGAAGGCTCCCTCAATCACTTGCCTGACTGGCGGCTGCTGTTGTCTCTTGGCTGGGGATCTTAGCTGGTCCTGTGATGGGAGTGTGGCCACTCCATATGGCCACTCAGCTTCCCCACAGCTCAGTGGCCCGGTCCCCGTGGTGAATACCCTGAGAGGCCCAGGTAGAAACTAGATAGCAGCCTTTTATAACTTAGCCTTTGATTCATCTTCGTTGTAGTCATATCTCACTGGATTCAAGAGGGTACATGAGGTGGCACCTCAGGAACATGTCATAAGGAGGTCACAGGGGAATGGAATATATATATGAGTGTGGCCGTCTTTGCAAAATACTTACTTCCACACCCATCCCCACTGACTTGTCACAATCTCCTTCCCACCATCACCTCTGTGCACCTGTCTACATGCATCTACTCTCTCTCGACACTACTGAGATTGGGAGACAATATTGACTTATTCACCTTCTTTCCTTTTACACACACTGTCTCTCACACCACTCAGAAGGAGTTAGTGAACAGTTATTCCACATTATTCCACACTCCCCTGCCAATAAAGACTACAGAAGTCTACAGCTCCCATGTTTTTCTGTGGTTGCCAATCACTAATTCAGAGTCGGAGCCAGTGAGAATACCTCCAGAGGGCAGTGTGACATTTGCTAGTAGGTTGTGGGTAAAAAATCAAGTTCTGATTTCTTGCCTCAAGGCAATAGGCCTGGCCAGCCTTAAAACTCTACCCAGAGATGAGGCTTTATGGAAATTTGCCCCTGCCCATTTTTTAACCCACTGACCCAAATGGGTATATAACCAGGTGTGATCAAATGGGAAAGAAAAGAGAAACATGGTTGGGAAGTGAAGGTCTCAGTATCATCTATCAGATACCCTGTTGTGGAGGGTCTCACACTTGGGGTAATGTGACCCTTGGGATGCTGCTGAGGTCATTTCTGCACTGGCTTTCACAGGATTGCCTGGGGTGGGGGTGGGAAGCAGCCTTTCCTCTCGCCTTGGCTTTTGAAAACCTCACTATTTTGTCTCAATGAATTAACTCTCACTTCCCTGATGGATTCCTGTCCTTTCCTTGTACTTTGCCCCTTTTTGACACAGTGCAATCCCACCCCCCACCCCAGCCACTTAGCAACTGTGAGTCCCCATTTGAGGAAAGTAATCCGGGTTGATGAATGCCTAGTTTGTGTGAGTTAGAGAAGAGGGCAGCATTGTCGGATGTGCCCGTTGAATTTGCACAAAAATTGATTCACTCTTCCTTTGGGGGTAGAAATCGCCAGTGAATGGAGGCTGAAACATATGTCATCATTTGTTACAGCCTTGCTCCCGGGCTGCCTCTATGAAACATTTCTGAGGAGGAGAAGCAAGTCTTCAGCAGCAGGGTAATTGCTGCTGGGCTGTTCGCTGAGGAAGTGCTTGGAAATTGTGCTGTGATTTGAAATCACAGAAAACAGTGAGCATTCTTTGTGGTTAACGATGTGCTGCTTTTAAGCGCGTCCCAGCCAACGGCAACAAAGAAATGTTTGGAAAGCAAATTGAAAAGCTGTAAGGGAAAGATGAAGAGAGCGTACAACCCTGACACAGCTCAGCTGGGGCTTTGTTAAGAGATATTTATAAGTCTTCAGATTATGCTCCCCCACCCTGATTTCCAGATGACGAAGGGACCTCTCCAAGCGTCGTGCTTTGTGCATTAGTAATAAGGACACATGAGCCAGTGTAATGCTCCACACACGATACTCTACAGCTGTGT